GCGTCAGCACTATTTGCAAGATCAAAGCAACACCGTAGACAGGAATGCTGTTGTTGAATATCAACTACTGTATTTACCAGCGTATAAGACCGTGGCCTTCGATGCCTGTTTCTCGAAGGCCACGATAAGAGGCACTTTTTTCCCTTTGAAAACAGGTTTGAAAAACAGAGTGCTTCTTATACGCTGATACTGCGTCGTATACGTCGTTTGTGAATGGGTCAAAGTTTCATGAGATGCTGTGAAAACAGAGAAAAGGGTTAAATCATTTAAGAAGTGTGGCATTAGTAAAGCACTGGATGATACAGAGGACAATTTGTTGTATAAGGACACAGATGCTGATTTAGAAGAGGTTTCAAGTGACTCTTCATTTAGCTCTGGAGATGAGTGTCTGGGCTTTGTCGAAGAAGATTAAAAGGTGTTCTTTCCCAGATAGATTGAGTATTTGCAGAAAGAATTACTTTGTATTTGTATTACTTTATATATAAAATATTGTAAATTCATTATAATGATCAGTATTAAAGTTTTATCCTTCAAAAATGTGTATATAAAAAAGGGGGTGCGTCTTATACGCTAGCAAATACGGTAGTAATGTGACCTTCAACAGGCGGAATACGTACTAACTAAAACATTCTTAACCCTCATTTAAATATACGCGAACTAAAATTTGCATTCTGGCAGGACAACCGGAAAGGGAGAAGTGACAGTATATATACGATATATATATATATATATATATATATTTTTTTTAACCAATGGCGGGGCCTCAGCCGACTATACCCACTACTGGCCACTACTAGACCAGAAGTGGTGGCCACTTTATTATGGAGGCACCTAATAGGTGGATCATCTTTGCCTCCTATGAATGGACGGATAGTTACAACCATAGCTTCTCCGGGATTCGAACTCGGGTTCTTTGGTATCGCAGTTGGCTCCCCTAATCACTATACCAGATGGCGGCACAGATATGGAACATAAAATAAGTCATTACTTAAAGCAAAATAACTTACAATGTGTATATATATATATATCTTTTTTTAATCCAATGGCGGATTGTGAATAGTTACAGTGTAACTCAGTCCATTAACCTATACAAGGCCAGATGTGGTGGTCTCTTTATTATGGAAGCACCTAATAGGTGGGCCACCATCGCCTCCTATGAAGGGACGGACAGTTACAACCATGCCTTCTCTGGGATTCGAACCCAGACCCTTCGGTATCGCAGTCAGCTTCCCTGACCACTATACCGACTGAGCGGCTATATATACGTTGTAAGCTGCGGCATTTCAATCTTTTTACACGATTCTTAAATAACGTTAATGACGCAGACACTTATATGATAAGAAATTTTCTCATTCCTTATCACGTGCCATCGGGAAGTAATTGGAAGCACGTCCCACTAGCAGTTGGGAGGTTTGGAGCTCGAATCCGAATTCATATTTCCTGCTCTGGAAAAACTGATGACTCTACAAGTAGCGTCCGAACTAAAATTTTGTCGTCGGTAATTCGTCACCACCTTAATGTGGAGACTGGGTCACCTCCTCTCCAGTCATTCTTTAAATGGGAGAGAACGTGATGAATTTTCTGCTTCCTTACTGTGTGTTAGTGCTGGAATTAGAAGAACATCTGGCTAGCAACCGGAAACTCCGGAGTTTGAATCCTGACAAGGAAATTTTTCATGCTTCCTGCTTTTATACAACCAAGTGCCCTGCAACATTATGGCTCAGCCTGTAATTCTTTTAAATTTTACTAACTGAAACTCACACAACAAACACAGGAATGTGAAAACCATTACTAAATCTTTTTTTTTTTTTTTTTTTTTTTTTTTTTTTTTTTTTTATCAAACTTTCGATGGGAAACTGCGCAATGCTTCCCTCGCGTCTCTTCACAGCTAGTGTCGTCAGTCATCTGTTATTTTTCTATCACCATAATAATCATATAATTTTGCGAAAAGTAATTTGTAATGGCGGAAAAGTGGGTCGCCCACCTGTACGCTTGTATATTGTTTTACTGTGTTGGATTCATAAAACAATTACACAAAAAAGGAAGAAGATTTGGAAACATCTACGACTGCCTGTTATAAATAGAAATTTTCATCAGCAAAACGCATGAGCATCATCATGCGTATACTTTTCTGTACATTTTCTGTGCTACTATCTCAAAATCTCAAAAATTTTCATTAAACACACATACGTATACAGGGTGTTGAAAATTAAAGTACCCTTCTTAAAGACTGCCTACGGAAACCAGTCGTCAGAGAAGAGTGAAATTTTGCGGTGGACTTGAAAGGATGGAAATATCTTTCAAGAGGAAAAAACTGTAGTTACAAATATCGCCACCAGATGGCATTGTATTAATAAATTGCAAATTTAGTCATACCTTTACAATAGTTTTAAAATTTTGCAAATTTTATTACAACAAAACATGTTCCACATGATGGCCATCATTTTCAGCTACCATCTGAAATCGCACGATGGCATGTTCCACAGTTACCGAAGTGTATGCTGGAAAATGTTGACCACGTGGCGTAAAATGTTAGCTTTAAGATCAGTTAAAGTCACACTTACCAGATGTTTCAAATGCCCTCGAAACCAGAAATCGCAGGGATTGACATTTGGAAATCGGGAAGGGCACACATTACGAAAGTGCAGGTTGATGACGCGTTCTTCTGTAAAACAACGTTTAAGAACATTTGCGACACATCGTGTAATGTGAGGAAGAGCTCCATCTTGCATAAATATTGTGCGTGCAAGGCAATGATGTGTTTGCAAAACCGGGACAATTTTGTTCCCTAACAACGATGCATACCGTTGCCCGGTGATCGAGCATATCACTGACCCTGTAGAACTTATCTCCTCAAAGAAGTACAGACCGAGAATAAATGATGCAGAAAATCCACACTTTGCTATCACTTTTAGTGAATGTAACGGAACCTCTATAATAGGGGGCGAATTTTCTGGTTCCCAAATTCGTCAGTTCTGAGTATTCACTGCACCGTCCAAATAAAAATGCGTTTAGTCTGTCTAGAGGATATTCCCAAACCATTCTGAATGGACCTGAAAGCAAGCAACAAATGGAAGTGAGAACCGGAATTGAGCATCAAAATCATGTGGAAGCAACCATTGAACTGTGAATGTTTTTAAGGATAATATCGGATGGACAGCTGCATGTGGAAATTTGAAGATACGCTTCAACGCTTCTACACGCCTGACACTGGTGCTAGCCTGAAAGTTTGAAACTGTGTCCTCTACCACCAGAAACGCAACTTTCTGAACTGTTTCTACAGAAACGGGTATTATTTTATGTATTCAACGCGGATGAGATTTTGTTTTCAATGTCCTTGCTGCTCATAGTGACGATCAATTTACGAGATCATGCTTTGTTTATAAAGTTGTTTTACCGAAATAGTAATTACGCAATAGCTACTCTCCGGAAATTTCGGACATGGCAGTTGATTCAAAGAGGTCCAATGAATGTTAAAAACCTTCAGAAAATGAAGAAATTTGAAGAAACAGAATTTCTGTTTGTCTTAGAAGAGGAAGCAAATCCGTTTCTACAGAAACAGTACAAGAGGTTGCACTTCAGGTGGTAGAAAACACAGTTTCATACTTTCAGGCTAGCACCGGTGTCAGGCGTGTAGCAGAAGCTTTGAATAGACCACATGCAGCTGTCCACCCGATATTATCCTTAAAAACCTTCACATTTCAATGGTTGCTTCCACATGATTTTGATGCTTAATTCCGGTTCTCACTTCAGCTTGTTGCTCGCTTTCAGGTCCATTCAGAATGGTTTGGGAATATCGTCTAGACAGACTAAACGCATTTTTATTTGGACGATGCAGTGAATACTCAGAACTGACGAATTTGGAAGCCAGGAAATCCGCCCCTATTATAGAGGTTCCGTTGCATTCACCAAACGTGATAGCAAAGTGTGGTAACGCTATTTGTAGCTAGTTGTTTTTTCACTGAATAACGTTCCCATCGCTTCAGTAAGCCCACCATAAAATTTAACGATTTTCTGATGACTGGTTTCGCCTGTAGGCAGCTTTGAAATAGGGTTGTTTAATTCTGAACACCTGTATATATTGCATGTGTGTAGATATATAAAGCTATAAAATAAAATAAAAAGGAAAATTGAATAAATAGAATGTTTTAAGATCAATAGAGGAGTGCAGAAAACAAATTAAATAATCACAAATCTTTGCATGCAAAATATGAAGATGCTTTCAATCAGATTACAAGATAAATTTAAAATTTTATATCAGTGTCTTATATCTTGCAGTGTCGAGTTTCAGTCATGTTACAGAGGAACTATCTGATTCATTTGCCAGCTTCCGATAGTTGAGTAAGTGAAAACAACAATAATATAGAAAATTGATTAAAAGAATCAGTAGGGAAGCAAGTACATATTTCAACAAGTTCTTTAACAAGAGTAAACGTTAAAAGAATTGTACAATCCAACAAGCCTCTATTTGATGTTCAGATATATGCAAATAATCCTCAAAGTCACATGCAAACACAATGAAAAGGAATTACCTTCACTTGTTAAAGCCAATCTTATTCCGCAATGAGTTAGTTAGTAGTTTGCAAATAATAAATAACATAATTAAAGAAAAAGGACAAAACAGTTTTATAATATGCCACCATTTAAACGGAGTTATAAACTTATCTTCTTACAGTAGTTACATGGGACTTTTTATTATTATTATTATTATTATTGAGTATGTGTGTGTGAGAGAGAGATATTAAATAAGTGCAGTTTCCAAGTTTAAAGAAGTAAAAAATTTTGATAGCCAGACGTCCGGACCGAGATGTAAAAATAAAGCGAAAGTAATGAAAAAATTTGAATAAAATTAAGAAGGAGGTAGTAGTTCAGCCAAAAAGGCGATAATGTGTTTTAGAAAGGATATATACGCATATAGTTATTCTGAATGTGCAGTCTCAAAGCGTATTTTTATTTTTTAATAAAATAATTTTTTTCATAATATGGGTTTGAAATTGCAGGCTATTTACATGGACGAACAACTTCGTTTCTATGAACAAGAAAACGGTAAAATATCCTACGGAGATCTACAACCTATAGTGTTTGAAAATGGAGACCATATGCCACCAAGTACACCACAAGATCTTATGCCATCAAGCCAAAGACAATTCAGCTTCGAAGGTAAAATATTTTCATTTTAAGTTAAATATCAGTATTCTAAATTGTCCTAAAGCACGTGCGTAAAAAAACCCCTACTTATGAAAATAATAATATAATAAATATAATACGAATATAGAATATAGTTTAGCGAAAAGAAAAATAGCCTAGAAAAAGTTTAGAGAAACGAAAAATCAGAAATACCATCTAAAAAATGTGGATTGCTTTCTTACTGCCAGAAAAAAGATTAATATTGTTGCGTTTTTCTTCTTCTGACACCAGTTGTTACGTTATTTTCTTCCTTCACGTTCGTACGGGGTTTGCAGATTTGGAGTGAATAACGACGACACTTGATGAAGTATCGAAACACACTTTATTTAGCCAATACTGATCAGGACAGCTCCAAAGTCACGTTTTACAGTCGTCGAAGATCTATTATAAACATGCTGACACGATCAGCGACAGGTTATCAGTCTATCACGGTGGAGACAGGTTCACTGCAGAGCACCAGAGTACAGCTTCCGACTCTGTTTGGTCGTTCTCGGAACTTCACGTACTCTCTAGACTTTCCACGCTACAACTCGCGATGCAATCAACGACACACAGAGCACGGCTCCCGACTATTCGGTTCAGTCGTTCCCGGAGCTCAACACGCTCTCTCGACGATGCACTAACCGCGATACACTAAGAGACTCCTTCGGTGAACTCGACGACCCACTCGGCACTTGCAGGCCGGCTGTCAACTCGATCCGCAGGGATTGACTGGCTAGACGAGACACCAACTCGATACTGACTAACTCGCACTCTATGCGAGGCACACACTCTCGCCCTCTCGACGAGGCACACTCACTAACTGACTGCGGACCAGCAGGGTTTATATAGCTTTCGACGTGTGTTCGAGAACATTCTGGGCTAAACCGGTAAGAATTTGTTCCAGAAAGTTCTCCATCCGTCCATGGCACATCGCCAATTTTGTAGTCAAACGTCGCCGCCAAATGGAAGATTTCTTGCCAAATGTGGCAACCCTGCTTTCCCTTGCAATTTTATGGCAACCCTAAAACTGCTTTGCGGGAAAGCTGTCTCACCGCGCCGTTACATTTTGTAACAATATCTTAGTGCCATACATGTCTGTATCCACAAAAGTCCTTTCCTGGGCTTTATTTTCTCAATAGCTGGTAATAGATATATATTTCCACTTACAAAGACGTTTGAAATGATGCAGATTCATACTCTGGCCTTTTTAAAATTAAAGAAATCAATTTTGTAAAAGTTACTAAATTTAACCTTTTAGACGTCCCTTCGGCATCTATACTTATATTTAGATAAATTTTGTGCTCATTATAAAAAATAAAACACAACAAGTTTAACTCATGTACTGTAAAAATTGATTGAAAATATCAATATTAAAATCGAGAATTATATTCAGGGGTTGTACATAAATTGAAGAGCAAAATATTTGCATTTGTACGTAACTAAAAATAAAATTTTGTTTAGAAAAAGGTTTGTGATGTTAAGAGATTACATGCCGAGTATTTCTATGCAGATTATTGTGAAAAATATAGACCAATAGTTTTTTTCCTTCCAAAAGGAAGATCTTTTTCGTAGAATCTTATAGAATTCGTATTCTAAAAAACACTGGCAGACTTCAGTATTGATGTGTAGCCAAATTGTAATTTTATTTCCATTAATTAAAAAAGAAAAATATTTCTATTTTAATGAATTCTTTACGATTACCAGATTATGATTCTAAAGGAATAAAATATCATGAAAATATTAATAACATATTTTTAGACTTTGATAAATTATAAATTACATTTGCAGAAATTTTTCTTTCGGCATATCAGAAGTAAGGAAATTATAAATAAAGACACTAGTAAGTGACAGAAGAATATCATTGAATGGCACTTAACCGGACAAAAACCAACCTGAAATTATTCTAATTTATTTATTAAACGAGCCCTCAATGCAAAGTGTGAAAATTAAATTTCGTATCTTATAAAAAAAATTGATTTCTTTAAATTAAAAAAAAAAAAAAACGAATCTTTGCATCATTTAAAATAATTTTGTAACCAGAAGTAAGTGTCTACGACCAATAGTTGCAAAAAGAAAAGCCGGGAAAGGACGTTTTTGGATACGGTGTATAAATTCTGAAGAAGAGAAAATAAGATTTCTCTTCGCACGACTTCTGAGCTCTTGGGCATGAATTCCACAGCTCAACTTAAAATTCTGTTATCTTTAATTAATTAAAAAATGAAATTAAGGTAGATGTGACTAAACCGATATCAGTTGTTAACACTGACGATATATCAGCATTGCCTAATTTATTTAAAAAGCTATTTTTCCTCTTGTTATTTTTATATTATGACACTTTTAACCCTTTAGCGCTTGTGAGATTAAACAAATCTTTCTTTCCGAATACGGCGATGTTCATTCGTTCGCGCCCACTGTAGTGTGGAACTGGAATGTAAGCTAAGCTTAGTAATTACCAGCAAAAGGTTAAAGCCAAGTTTTTAATTTTTCTTTTATTCAAAGAGTGAAGAAGGAAAGTTTTCACATCGCAGGTATTTTGACCACACAACTTGCTACTATGGTCTAGTGAAAACTTAAGCCTCCTTTCAACAACGATAGTTATATACCAAAATACTCTAAAGACACTTTTATAAGTATATATGAGCTAAATTATAGTTAAGACACATTAAGTAGATTATCCAAGATTAAGTAGATGTGTGTTGATGTAAGAATAAAAGCAGTAACACGAAATATTATGAAAAAGTAGAGTTTATTTTGGGATGTTCAAATTATTTTGATTCTTCATGGGCTGTCTCAGAATTAAAATTCAAATTCCAATGTTAATTTTGATTAATAGTTGAAATATGTGTCATATGTTGATTTTTTTTCTTTCTGATAACTTACAGATATAGGTGATTTGGACGTTGAGAAGCCGTGGCAGTTTAAACCTCCAGATCAGTGGCAATCAGTGGATGTCATTGATTGGATATTTCACTGGGCAGCTCAAAACAGAGTGGACTTGCTAGATGTAAATATGCTCATTTTCAACACCCTTACAGGACGTGATCTTTGCCGTATGAGCAGACACGAATTCTGTTCCATTGACAATCAGTATGGCGGTTCTCTTTACGATACATTACAGTATTTAATTGCCCAATACGGTAAGTTGAAAATTCGAATCAATCCTGCATAATAAAATCATAATTATGCCATATATTTTGTTTCATTAATTTATTACATAATGGTATTATATAACCAAATGTAAGTAGACATTCATTTTTTAACAATTTACCTGTATATATATGTCAGAAGGCTCAAAATAGCCTTTAACTGCTCATGTAAAAGTAAAATAGATTGCTATAAAGAGCAGAAAAATGTTCAGTATGATATTATATTTCAATATAATATTATAACAGAGTAACAGTTTACAGCAATGAAGCTAGATAAATCTCTATCTTGTTTCGGTCATCGGGTCCACCAACCGCTTATCAGTGAAGTCGCTAAAAAACTTTTTGAGTTCGACCTAGGTTCAATGCCAAGCGAACGGGCTGGCTGCATGGACGTTATTGTGGCATTCTTCATGGGTAACGTGGATACAAGCCAGTTTCCCTTAGAAAATCCTCCACGAAGAAACCCTTTGGCAGATAGTTATCATGTGTTTTACCGTAACTCAAGTAATCCATTTCAATCCTTGCTTTAGTTGCCTTTGGTTCATTCACAATAAAAATTATGATGAAGCGAAACGCCTAGAATCATACAGTTTCGAAATTCAAGATTCGAAAAATATCCAACATTTCCAGCAGTGCCTCGTTGCGTCGTTCGAGGGTTGCGATTATTAGCCAAAAATTCCGAATAAAAACACTGATGAAGGGCCAGCGATCGAGCTGCCTAAGAAATTCACCAAGAAAGCTGCCAAGACTAGGAATCCTACACCTGATAATAAAGCTGCTTTGAAAACTTCCACTACAATTTCGAAGACATCGGATGCCACTCTCAAGACGGACTCCCCTGTCGAATATGCATTGAATAAATTTGCCGCATTTTGCAACAAAATCTTAAAATTTTCCGCTATTCTTAAAAATCTGAAATCGCTGAATGAAACGCTACAGCTTGTTGTGCAGGTTATTGGATTTACGGAAGAGCTGGACTTAAAAAATTTCAGCCATTATTGTTAGATGACTGTGAATAACCTCTCTCGGGCGGGCTAGAGGGCGCCACCTCTTAAGCAGTATTTCCCCATTTCCAAGTTTCAAGACTTCCTCGCCCTAGCTAGTTATGTTTTGTCCATTTTTACATCTTTGACTGTCCTTGGAGTTCTACCTGATTGGAATATTCTACTTTATCACCATTATGGGCACTTTACTTCGTCGAGCAGGAATATGGGTAGCGGAATATCGGTATCTAGCGGAACTTGGAACATTCTCTGCAGATTTCCTTTGAAGAGGGCCGTGTACTCATTGCTCTTATGCTTGATCATGAGGCTAAAAGGACAACTATTAAAATCTATAAGAACGGCTCATTTCAATTGACGGGCTGTAAAAAGTCTGTAGTCGTGGGAGTTTTGCATAGTAACTCTAATAGGCGTAATTCGGGAACGAGGAGGTGTGATTCCCGATACGGTAAGTATTTCGATCAGACCTGTCATGAAAAATGTGTCATTTACGTTTATGTTTAACTTTGACGAGTGTTTCTTCTCTCCTGGTTTCACTTGAAATATGATCTCATAATGTTTTTCCTGTCGTACGTTAAATTTTCCTATTCTTAAAATGCCTAATTATTATATTTATTAATGAATACGAGCATAAGCAAGTATAACTTATTTGATGTAGGTATAACGTATGGGAAACTTTATATTGTGAGGTAAACTGATGAAAAGAAGAAAAGAATGTGGAAGAAGGGTAGTAATTTCACTGCAAGATAAGATAACTATTTTAATGGCCCAAAAATCATGTTTTCTATTTCTGGTAAATTACCTATACTTCACTAAAGAACATTTCCTCTTTTTGAAAGTAAAAATTCGTTTTAGTGATTTGTACTAGCCGGTTGAGAATCGCTAGTATACTTAGTGTATGAAACATTAAGTATACTAGCGATTCTCAACCGGTGGTACGCAAGAGAAATATAGGTGATACGCAAGGAAACAAAGTATTTTGACGCTTATATTCAAAAATAAAATACCCCAATATCCTGTTTATGTTTTTTCTCTGATGCTTATAAATTTTTGCGATCTTAGCTTTGTTCAAGATCAATAGCCATTCATAGACTTAAGCAAAATAATCCGTTTTTATTTTCACAAATATTTAGCCATAAAGCAAAACAAAAGTTGTCATATATGATGTTTTTAAAAGGGGTAATAGAAATGAATGTTGTATTTAATAGGAAATAAAAATGAGTTCCTATTTTACAGTTGATCGATTTCTTAGCATGTCTATACTTGATCTCGCCACCATTTCCGGGCCCATATTGCTCTTGTTTACAATTAGAACAATTTTTTAACGTCGATTTGCTGTCTCTAACAGCAGGTATTTTGCCTTCTTGTTGCTTTGTATTTCTTACTTTTCTACGCGATTTGAGAATATCGTCGTTTGATTTTAAAGAATTCGTATATTGGGCATTTAAATAATTGTGAAAAAATAATAAAACAGTCCCAGATTTTTTCAAAATAGAACAATGGCTTGGATTGACGAAGCGGAAAAAGTGATGATTTGCATGTAATGGATCCAGGGTAATCTACTAGCACTAAAGGGCCCACCAGCGGCCGAGCGGTAAAGTCGCTGAGCACTGGTAGTTCGGTCCGAGGTTCGAATCCCGCGAACGGGCTGGCTGCACGGGCGTTTTCGTAGTTTTCCCCATGTGTAGCGTGGCTACGAGACAGTTTCCCTTAGAAAGTTCTCCACGGAAGCATCCCTCCCCTTAGGCAGATAGTCTAGTGTGCTTTGCCGCAATCTCAATAAACCAAACCAAACTACTAGCTCTAAAAATATCGAAAAGAAAAGAATATTTATCATTTGAGTTTACTTGGAAGGGAGGTGAAATGGACCCTCAATCTTAATGTATTGTTTGCGCTGAACTGCTAACCAATCAAAGTATCAAACCACGATTTCTTAAAAGACATCTTGAATCTAAGCATGCCAATATAAGGATAAATCTGAAGAATATTTTAAGAGCTCAAAAGTAGTAAACAAGTAATGAAACGTTTTGTCATTTCAAGTGCTCTGGAAGCTAGTTAGGTAGTAAGCCTAAGAATTGCCAATACTGGACAGGCTCATGCTATTGGAGAAAAACCTTATATTAACAGAGCTAAAGATATCTGTCAATGAAAAAGCGGCTAATGAACTCCCATTATAAAATGATAATGTAAGTCGACGAATTCTTGAAATAGCAAATCCCATAAAAGAGACGCTTTTTCAATAATAATAAGAAGAAGAAAATTAAATAAATAAAATACAGTGATATAATGAACTTTGTTAAGTTATTAGTTTACACACGTTCCGAAGAAAATAAACGAATTGCCGAAGAGTATTTATTTTGTGAATCTCTTTATAATAGAGCAACTGTAAAGGAAATTTTCGAAGTAATTGACAATTTTATGTCTGAGAATGATATTCCTTACAATCCGTGCATTGCCGTACGGAGTGACGGAGCTCGAGCTTAACAGGAAAAATTCCAATGTTATTTCTCAAATAAAGACAGTCGCAACTGAAACTAAATTTACTCACTGCTCTATTCATCATGAAGCTTTAGAAAGCAAAACAATCCCTGAAAAACCTGAAAATCATTTTGAATCAAGCTGTAAAAATTTTTAATTTTATTAAAAGCCGATCTTTAAATTCAAGAATATTTACGATTTTATGCTAAAAAGAGATGGGCAATAAACATGAAACGCTTTTGTTATATTCTGAAGTAAAATAGTTATCCAGAGACAAAGTTTTAAATAGTCTTTTTGAACTTCGATCAGAAATTCAAATTTTCCTCTGTGATTCATAATTTGAATTGCAAAAATGTTTATTTAGAGAATTATTATGGTTGGAGCGTTTAGCATATTTACCTGATATTTTTGGAAAGTTAAATGAATTAAATTTGGGATTACAAGGGCAAAGTGTTAATTTGTTTACTACTAGAGATAAAATAAAATGCAATGATAAAAAAGCTCGGGATAATAATCATAAAATTGGATAATAATATTTTAAGCTTTTTACCACTTTTAGAAAGTTTTCTAACTAAAAATAATTTAAAAATAAAAGAATTGGCATCCAACATTAAAAATCATTGTTTTTCATTGATAAATAATTTCATCGTGTATTTTCCCGAGGATTATGAAATAGAAATTGGATTAGAAATACATTTCGTTCAAATGGCACTGAAATTTTATCTCGTAGGGAAATAGAACAATTAATAGAAATTTTCTGTGATCGATTCCTCTTCGAGCCAGCTAAAGATTTGAAAATAACACACTTGTTAACGTTCCGCTGAACCGAAAAAACGAATTTAAAGGCATTTCAAGTAAAGCATTAAATTTTTACTGCCATTCTGCAAAACCTATTTGTGTGAACAAGGATTTTCTTCTATGTTATAGTTGAAAAATAAATGTAAAACAAAATTGAAAGTAGACCCTAATTTACGGTCAAAGCTAAGTGAAATATGAACAGGCATAAAGAAATTGATTTCTCTTAAGCAGGGCCAAATTCCATACTAAATTTTAGAATTAAAGTATTATGACTTAAATTTTGATAGTTGAAATGGTAACCTCCCCCCGGGGGTCGACGTAGAGAACTCTGCGAAGCTACTGGCTAGGATCTGTACCTAGGCAGTCTCGGCCACGGGGGTATAAAATTTATGAACTTGGTGGTTCTGAAGGCTCTGGGAAAGGTCACTCATTGGCCGGCCTCGTCTGTCTGGCACGTCCTAGCGCGGCGTGGTGCTAGTAACCCGGGGGTTTTCCCCCGGGGTCGCTGGGTAATGTCCCGCTGCGAGGGCTCGCCCGAGCGACTGGCAGGAGCATTAGACGATCGGTGCTTCCTGGTGTCTTATCCAGGTGGTGCGCGGCTCTACTGGAGGGTAATAGTGGAGGTTGAACCTCCACGACGTGCCCAAAGGTAGAGTCGACCTGTAGTGAGATTAAGTTACTCGGAGCAGGGCAGCCGAAAAGCTATAGTTGAAATGGTAACCAATTTTTAATCTAATATTTTTTATGTGTGCGTATTTAATAGAAATAGCCAATAAGTTGCGCAAATTGCAATATATATATTTTTTAACATTTCTATTGAGAAATTGAAAAATAATCATTGTAATATGTAGTGATGGTATTTTTCATGATATGCCTTAGTCAAAAGGTTTGAGAACCGCTGAAGTATACAATATACAAGAAAGAAACATATTCTGTTAACTTTTATAAATTCATTTATAAAAAAATTAGTTACTCATTCATTCATTCTGTTCTATTAAATTTTAGGTGCACCATCATCAATGCAGGAACATTTGTTGCCATCCGATCATGACTTAGTCGATGATGCAGAGTGGGACAGATGCTCTAGGTGGAATAACGTGTTTTCTATCGAAACTCAAGGACCAAGTCCAGCTTCTGGGTATTCTGGATGCGGTATGCTGAAATAAATATATACACATACATAAATAAACTATTTTTTATAAGAAATAATTTCTTAATCATCTTTATTACTTCCTTTTAAACATTTTCCCAATATACTTTCTTCCAAAATGTTTACTTGTTCCAGACATTATTTTTCATCAACAGTTAAAATATATGAAATCTACCCCATGAAGTTGGAAGGATTCTTTATTACATAATTTTTTAATTCAGAGTATAGTTGAAATTATAGATTAATATAATAGGCGGCGGTTGTTGGTGGCCGTTAACGTCAATTCTTGCATTAGTCACTCTGACAAGCCTGATGAATAATTATGGGTGGGTGTACTTGAGTGTGTCATTGATTATAGAGTTAGAGCTTAAGTAGTTTCATGATACGTTTGCCCATTCCATCCCTATTTTGATCAGCAATCATCTCTGTGTTCTGTCTGCACCATAGTTAATTAATTTAATAATTTTCTTCTTATTCACTTGAACCAGAGACAGGTTGTTGCAGACACATGGCCCAGTTTATGAATTGAATCAAATAAGGTATCTCTAGCATCAGCCTCTCGAAATGACTTACAGTGATAAAGATTTTAAAGACCCTCATTCCGCAAAATTAATAGTTTGACAGACGTTAATATTTTGCCATCGGTTCGAACGGGCAGCTTCGTCGTGGGGGCAACTTCTCTGATCGCACTATCGATCTAGTGGACCCAGGGCTTAATTTCAAAAATTAGAAATACCGGAGCCCTATAGAAGACCTTCAGGAAAGAGAAACAAGAATAAGATGACTAATAAAATTGTTAACAATTAAAAAATTAAATAACTCATTATTAAAATAATTAAATAATTAATGGTTAAAGTAATTAAATAATTAAAATTTAATAAAATGCAAAGAGATAAATTAGAATTAATAAGCAATTTTTAATATAATTTTATTAGTAAAAATAAAGTTTTCAAGATCAAATTTCTACTGAAATTATTGTTCAGTTACATAAAAGAAGTTCTTATTTAGGGCTCCAGTGCGCTCCGGCTAAAATTATAAATTATTCCCAAAACTAAGAAGTACCGGAGCCAGGCTCCTGTGGGCTACGGCGCAATTTAAGCCCTGAGTGGACCGGATTGTTTACGAAAGCGTTTGGTGAAATAGTATATGCGTTAGAAAATACAATGTAATAAAAATCCTTGGGTACTGAATAATTAATAAAGATATTTACAATACCCATTCTTTCATTATTTCGCACATTTCTTTGTGCTATAATTCCTACCACATGCATCTCATTAGATTATAAATGTTCTGATTTGTGATCCTGTATGCATATAAAATATACATATGACAAATATAGTGTATAGCAGAAGGAGCTTTTTAAAATGCTTATTCTTCTGAATACTACATGGGATGTTTTAAAAGCTTGTTTAAAAGTATCTCTTGAAAGGTTGGTTGCAGACTCAAGGTTCAAGGTTATGAGATGAATCAAATAAAGTAAGCCTTGAAACTGTGATAATGCTGATTGCGTGATACATTTTAGTCAAAATAGGCGTTTCCAGCTCTTATACGGGAAAAATTTAAGCAAATGTTTTTATACAGTCCTAGGAGAGGGAAAAATTGGGGTTAGTGAGAAATGAATGGCTTAATGGAGCAACACCAGAGCTGAATTAGTCAAATAAAAAATAAATCCTCATATAGTTAAATTCAGTTGATATAACATTAATTAAAATTTGGACGTATCATATGCAGCCACATATCATATATATTTGGGTGTTAAATAGCTATATATGTTAAATTATAGAATGTGTATTTCTGAAAATTACCTTTTGAATTAGAAAATCGTCAATTTAGAAAAACATTTTCAAGTTATCTTTTGTATAAAAGCTAAAATTAAAATATTGTATTTAAGTAAATTAAATTGGGATATGAGCTCTAAATCTATGTGTTTGCTATTTGTTTCGTCAATTAAAAATGGTTTAATATTGAAATCGTTTTCAGACCAGATCTGCTTATTACGGATTACCTCCCTCCACAAACTATTTGAAAGTTATGTTTCCTAAATTTTTGGTATTTTCAATTCTTTCAATGCAAAGCAAATGTTCCTTAAAAAAAGCAGCTAATAGCACTGAGTAAATCACAGTTTTATTAGACAAAATAACATTGATAAAAAAATTCTGAAGTACAAAGCTAAATGAACGAAATCTAAGCCCAATAATTTATTTTCGTTAGCTCTTTTTTCTCTAACTTTTCATCATCAGAGAGGGAAGTTTAAACAAAGAACAATTATTTAAAAAATTTGATCTAAAAGTAAAAAAAATATATCATATTTAGTAATTTGTTTCTGTTTTTGTTGAACGATTCGTATTGGTTTTTCAGCAAAATAACAAGGAAATTTAATTTACATATTCTGCAGATGTTAAATGCAAAAAACGCTAAATTAGGAAAAAAATTATGAAAATTAGAAAATTATTTTGTATTTTTGAAGTAAATAAAATTCATATAGCTATATTTTTGCTATTAGATTTTTCTGTTAGTAGTGCATCAATAGAAATAAAAGTTTCAATCAACTCCAATAGCTAATTGTACCTCCTATCAAATGCCGTGCATGTTAAGTACGGCATTATAGCTCCCAAATTATTTTCAGTACAAATGGGAAAATGACAAAAATTTCTTTTTTTCCCTACTGACATTTTCTTTCAAATACTCAGCTCTTTTAGTATTATTATTCAGATTAATAACTTTATATATTTTGATAAAATACTTAAGTAGAAGTTAGTTTTCTAGATGTATGATCGGATAACTAGCGCCGGTATGTATAGAAGTTGAAGATGAATTACATTGGCGTGGATGCAATTAACTAATTATCTCGTTCGTAATGGAAAACGAACTACATTCTATCAACATTTATATGTACAGAAATAACCCAGATTACCTCAATTGTTGCTAACAGCTGTTAAAAATATTTTACGTGAACTCATTCTAAAACCACATCTATTTTCTTAAGAACTAAGCCGAATTAATGAAATCGTTGAGAGTGATGATCTTAATCAGTTACATTAAGAAATCTCACGGTGCATGAATTTAATCACATTTTCTTTTATGAAACTGAATCGTAATTAGCCACCAAACACTACACTGATTTTGAATTTTATAACATCTCCATTGTTCGTATTATAATGTTTTACAGATGTGTGTGTTTACCGCAAAGATCATAAGCAAAGTAGTAATCGAATAGAATTACTTGAAGAAGAAGAACACTGTTAAATTCCCATCATTCTGTACTCATACTACTTTCGCGGACACAAAAAACATAACTCTGAATCAGTGCGGTAACAACTGCACCATAAGATTATTATTCATTTTAAAATTAGAAGAAATTGAACAAGGATTTATTGCCTTGGTTAAATATCAAGTCTTTTAATAAGTTTTAAAACATTTGGACCATGCCTTTTGCTCCGCTTCTAAGATATTATGAATGGAATATTTAAAATAGCATTAAATGTGAATTATTTCATTGATTAAATAGTGTTTCATTTTAGTGTTTTAATAATCTGAGGTATAAATAAAAAGCTTGCAATTGCAATTTAAACTCAAACTTTACAGATTCTGATCGTGAAAGCGCAAGTAGCACTTTGAGTACAGTTAACGACAAGGGCGAAATGTTAATGATTTTCAACCCTGCAACAAAGGCTTTTCCAAAGCAACGTGAGTATAGTTTATAATAAACTGATTTTATCTTTTTGTTTCCATTCTCATGTTTACAAAAAGACTGAGAACCAGCATAAATGATTTAAGTTTTGAAAAATCATCAGAATGAACACCTGCAATAAAATGTTGTACTTTTCACGGTTTTGTTGAGTTAATAAAATTAAATTTTTCTTTACAAAACTAAATTTATGACATAGGAGGTAATAGAAGTAATTCAAAACGGGGGAATTATCCAAGGTAATCATAATCGATCTCTAAAACTAAAAAAAAAAAAAAAAAAAAAACTCAGTGGCGAAAACAGCCCTAATGGGCCAAGACCTGCAGTGCCCTGAAATCTGCTTTCTTGACCGTGGGCCCGGGGTGCGTAAGCATATGCCTTGAACAAGTGGTCAGCTTGTCGCAGGACCCCCAGTGTTTAGTCCCCAAGCGAATTTGGTACTCATTTTATCGACCCAAGGGATTGAAATGAAGGGATGAGAGGCTGAGTCGACCTTGTCCAGCCCGGGACCGGACCTGTGGTGCTGCTGAGCGATGCGCTAGCCACTGCGCCACTGAGCCTCAAAAATCGATCTCTGTTTTAAGATTATAAAGAAAATTCTTTGGAAAACTGGAAGAATTTATATCCAGTAAAAAGCAGGATAGAAATCAACAAAGCAATAAATGAATAGGATTTAGCAGAACATACATAACATTAAGGAGAGAGCGAATAAAGTTCTTTAAATTATCTCCTTAAAGTCCTTTGCGATCCTCATGATATAATCGAGGTGAAAAACAATATTAAGCTGGCAATATACGAAGGTGATTCAAATGGAATCTTTAATTGTTTATTATGGGCGAAGCGGTGAAAGACAGAAAAATTGTATGTACATCTTTTTTCTACTTAGCTCCCATGAAGTGCTGTAGAGTCATTAGGTTATTTTGAAGCAGGAGACGTGAAATTTGTGCTATGCCTTCGCCAGGGCTAGAACCTTAGATCTCTCGAATGCGCGTCGAATACGCTTCAAATTACACCACGAAGGTATGCGGAAATAAGGGAGAAAATACCTTATAGCGGCAATGAAAAATATTCCAACGTTTTAGAAGTGCACGGATACCTTGTGAGAGAGATTTTGGGGTTGCAACTACAACCACTGGTGCACGGCACCACCTCCTCTTCGGTTCGGAAATGCTTGCCTCCCACCCCCTTTTTTTAACTCTAAGATCACAGGAGATTCGAAGGGGGGCATGTTTAATGAATATGATGGATGTGTAAGACATTTAAGTTTCATATTTTGGATTGTTGCAATGGTTAAAAGCGAAATATATGGTCGAGCATTTTAATCCAGTAACAAGACATCTGAATTCAGGCCTGTCGTTTATTTTTGAATGCAAAGTGGTGATTTTGAAGTAAATCTGCATAAGTACTGGTTACCGTAGCTTCCCTTTCAATGTAATATTCCTAAATTACCCCATTGACATCCCATAAGAGAATAAGCATGAACTTCTCTGTTGCCATTGATTGGGATGAGCTTCTCCGTAGAAGTGACTCCGTATTTAGACTTTTTTCATAATTCGCACACTTTCTGCCGGAATGCATACGATTTAACGTACCGCGCTTTCATCCTCTAATGTATTTCAATTGGTTTAACGCCTTCAATACTCAAAAGATGAACTTAATGCTTTGATGCATGTCCAAAATGGGGTGGCCATTTTGTATTGACTTTGCTTTCTTCTATCATACGCCATCCTGTTGCCAGCTGTTGGTCGTTCTTTGAGCCACAAGGAAAGTTCCTACTAATTTACAAGCAAATCGCACTGCTTTTCATAATTTTAATGAACTTTTAATGTTTTCACTAAAATTCCCTATGTAAAGATGACCTCTTCTTGTATTTGTTTCATTCAGTGCTCCGCATCCTATTTCTCATCCGAATAAAGAGAGATAAATGAGCTTTGTGCTTAAGCCAATGTCTTTTGGTATACTGAGTTTAATTTCATGCAGAAATTCCTTTAATTGCTACTTTGCGGTGTATAAACGAAACCCTATTGCACCAAATGTTACGCAATAACGTTGCGTTGCAAAAATTAACATTCAAAAGCTTCGTACTCACTTAAAGTTGCTTTCGGGACCATGGAGTATTGTTCGAAAATTTTGCATCCAAATTTCTTCATACGCTTTTTGAATCTGTCTGTAACCTTCCGGCTCACTGTGTGTTTATAATTGAGTGTAATACAAAAAGTTTCTTAGCTTTACTATTCTATACCCTCTTTTGTTGGAACTAATAAAGCAAATGTTTTAACCTCAAGTTAAATTTGTGCTCTTCGTTGTCTATAAACTTAGTTTAGAAAACTAGATAGACGGACATAAATAATTTTTTCATAAATTTTTGTACTTCATAATCTTTAAAAGATTACCGTTACACCACGAAGGCATGCTGGAAGGAAGGAGAAAATATCTTATATACTCCCCCTCTTCAAAGGCGACTGGGGATTAGGTGATTCAATCGCCAAATTTTGGTGGTGACGACTTATCATCCACTACCTTTTAGTTCGGGTACCACTTGTAGAGTCATTATTTATTTTTCGATGTTAGGAAACTTTCGATGTTAGGGAGATATGGAAGTCTCGGCGGGACTCGAACTTCGATCTCTCGAATACGCGCTGTGCTACCGTTACACCATGACGGAAAGAGAAAAAGCAGATCAGCTGTTGCATGAACGAGAAAGAAAATGCCTTTGGTATAAGCATGTGACATCATCTTGCTCGGCTGAACTACACAACGATAATTCATGCCAGCCATTAAACAAACTTATGAGCTCGAAAGGCCATAATTGCCCTCTTGTACGAGAATATACTGAAGCATTAAAAAGGTTTCTGGAATGTTACAATTCTCCCGAAAGCATTCCGTAAATGCTCATGGGGTTAAGGTAAAGAAACCAGATTGGCCTTTACAGTTTATGAATTCCCTCAGGAAGCCAATTATCTCTCACAATATTAGCCCTATGCGATCGGATGTCGTTGTCCGCAAGAACCTGTTGCAGATTCAAAAATTTATTATGTAATGAGAGATTTCGTTTGATTACAGTTGCTTTAAAATTACGGTTGAAGACATGGAAATCTCTGCAGCCTTTGAAACAAAATCTGCAGCAAACAATCTCTCTATTACCAATAAAAGAAGGCCCTTCGACGGTTTATACAGTATGTTAGCGTTTCTCTAGAATAAAATCCGTCGATTGTCATGCTACAGAGAAAAATTCTATTCATGAAAAGAGTGTGTAAGAAATTATCGCATTCCTCCCTGCATGTTCTGTATTTATCATGAGTTTATCATGTCAAACTTGCAATCGTAATATGCACAGTTCGAGACCCAACGCGATCACATTTGATTTGTCATGTCTCCTGGTCCGAAGTGTCAACTGATCTCTACCGTGCGCTCGAAGTGAAAGTTGGTGAACGAAAATTTGTCACCACATGGATTTGATTGATTGGATCGTTCAAAGTCGTCTTTTTTAAATGGAAAAGAATGTAAGAGATTAAATGATGATATGTAAGAGAATGTAAGATTTATACCTTGCGGGTTCTCGTTGTGTAAATGGCTATCCCGTCCACACAATAATGATCCGTGGCTCAAATCCCTGCGAGCGCTCAGTTTATTATTCGTGTCTCGTAGTCCAAGATGTTTACTGGCCTCTACAAGCCCATTGTCCCAAACATCTACAAATCGAAATAATAGACTAGTGATCTCATCACAATCGAGCAGGTCTAGGCTTGGCAAATAGTGATTCAAGTGTATACAATCTTTTTTCATGCTGTACTAATAGATCCTTCTGTAATGACCTTTTTGTAGGGGTAGGGAGATTAGAATATAAAACAGGGCTCTTTTTCCGCATGCAATAGCTGACCGATAAACTCACGGTCATCAGAAATCTTGTAATTCTTCGAGGTTAACCTAAACGTGGTCTTCGGTTTACTGCTTCGAATACTTGAAATTAAACGCACAAATATAAAAAACAAAATGGTGAATTTCGAAGAAAAGCGCATTCATTCCAGGAGACTGACGGATGGCGTCACTCATTCGTCATCTTTGGAGCGTAGTAAATAAAATATATCTTACAGACTTTTTCTATAACTTTCATACATGAACTAAAATAAGTCCATAAGTAACAGTCTACTTTTACTAGTAGGTTTATTTTGGTTTGGTTTGATTTAGTTTTGTTATGGCATAGCACACTATGGTTATATGCCTAAGGGAAGGAATATCGTCGTGGAGGACTTTCTAAGGGAAACTGGCTCGCATATGCGTCATACATGGCGAAAAACACCAAAAAGCCCACTTTTACTTGGTGAATATTTACTTTTATACTTTTATATTCGGATGAAACCAAATTACTCTACGCAAGTTTGTGTGCATAATCTTTTTTTCTAAGAAACTGCATTTCAAGCTTATAATTTGAAGGAAAAGATGCTTACTATAATTCCAAATATCGTAATCTCGACCGTGCTCTACTTTTATGATAAAGAAGGATTTTTAAGTTAATGTGATAGCACAATGGTTAGATAAAAAGTAGTAATGTAGATCCCTTAGTTAATCAGGACTACCCATTTTTTCGCAATAATTTCTATGCATAAAATTGCTTGGATATATTCTAAGTTATAAACTCCTTACTTTTGAAAAGAAATGCTTTCGTATGATTTTCTCTAAGCCAAAATTCGAAGTATCGTTTCAGATGTAGAACATATTGAAGTAAATCGTGTATTCATGATTAATATGCTAATTGATTCTAAATATTTCTTTATTAACAACAGAAGCTGAAATTTATTGCTTCTTGCAAAGGTAATCTCTGTAAGAAAAGCAATGTCATCATTCATTGCCTGCAAAATGTTTTGAAAACAAAAAGGAATTAAAAAAAGCTTCAGAAACGTTGTTAATCAAGAGGAATTTATTTTGATGATTTCTAGTTTACCAGTAGGGTAAATGGAATTTTGAAATTTTTTCAACCTATTAGTAATATATCAGTTAATTCCATACTTTTTTTAAGGAAATCAAATATCTGGAAAGCAACAAATAAAAATGGGTTCCATTTGTTTATTTACGTTTGATGCCGTAAATAATTAATATTAATGCAGTAAAAGTATTATGAAGCTTTATTTCTCATCTTTAAATTTTAAATAACAGTTCTCGTTGTATTTAACATTTGCATTTTTTAGAATTTAATTTCCAACTTCAGATGTAAAAACTTAGAATTTTAGTGAACAAAGTACAAATGTTTTCTTTTACATTTGCAGTCAAAAGCGTCATCAATGTAAAATATGCCAGAAAAAGAAAACCAATTTCATTAAAAATAAATAAATAAAAGATGTGTCTTGAGGCTCTGTTGGCCTCTTTATTTAATTATATGCAAATATATAAGTTATAAAATTAATTTTTTAATGTCTTACATTGGTGGGAATTTAATATACCAAACTTTTTTTTTTCTTTCTTGAACATCGTGGCTATCTTCTAGCAACAGCAGCAATATGTATCAAGAAAGTTGGCCGAAGAGGACGCCCTCCTAAGAAGGACGGCAAACTTCGTGGTAAGCAAGGTAATATCTTCCAGTAATGTACAAGACAAAGAGTGTTTCTGCTTCTCCAAGCCACCTTACTAAGTTTCGCTAGCTCTGCTAAGATTGTGTTTATTCGGCTTTGTGTTAGTGCTACCAGTATTTAAATTGTCACGTCAGTTAAAGTTCTGAGCTTACTTAACTTAGTTAACTTACTCAGCTTAAATCGTGAGTCTCTTGACTCACGAGTCAAGTTCGACTCTTGGTTTCAATTTTTGAATTTGACTGTTAACTTGAGTTACATCGCCACGAGTAATAGGCAATCCCAAGAACAAGAAGTGGGTTTCAAGTTCTGATTTGATAAAAGGTTTATTTTTAAACCTTTTTAAGATTTTGCAGTTCTTTTCAGACACAGCGATAATTCGCTCTAAGTCTGTTAGAAATCTGATACCTAGTTTATGAAACCAAACTCTATAAAATATTCTATACAAGAAATAAGACAGAAATTTTACATTACTTTCCTAAGACAAGAAATTTTACATTAGTTTATGAAATGCTTCTACTACATCCCCGTTTTAATATATCGATAAATTCCAGGTTCAAAAATGCTTCAAGTATTAGCACACTAGAAATGAAATTAAAATTATACTCATTCTGCTGACTTTGTGAGCCAAATTTACATAGTTTTTTATTTTTTGGTTCTGTTATTCAATCAGCGAAAATTAGATATCACATTTTATTGTTGTAATTAATTTTTGCAGTTATTTATTTGAAGTACCTGCATACTGACACATAAACATGCATATTGAACATAGAACACGCCTCTGCTGTTCACATTAATGTTAGGTCAACTAGGCTTTTCCAAAAACTTCTTGATATTTCTAGCGAACGGAGAGAGGTCTAACCCGCATTGCCTGTAAAACCTATTTCTATAAAAGAAATTTGAGGATTTTGAGCACTAGGCGATTTTGCTATTGTTATCAAGCCATTAACTTTCGTTATTAATGTAATTAACATAAACCCTTTATTATAAAACACAAACATCTTTAGCATTATAGCCTTGAGAGAAGATCAAAAGTCAGAAAAAGGAAAACATAACAAAGTCTTTTGAGTATAATTCTCTTCTCAATAGAATAATGATGCTCATAAGGAGAGAGTAAAACAAATCGCTCTAGGAAAGTAAGGCTAATATTCAGCCACCTCCAACAACATTTCGTTACATTTCGAGGGAACCTTTTTCAGCCACCCTCAAACTAGGTAGGAAACAAAACTGTATATCCGGGTTGAATTTTATCTAATTTGAAAACTCATAATGTACATCTTGTGTACAAAGTCTCTGATACATTTGAATTATTAATATATCAAAAATTATTGAAAACACGAATAAACTGATAACAGTGATAGACAGATAAATTCAAAACGTTTTGCATCCTGTATAGGTACACTTCTATATATACACCTTTCGTGGCGAGGAGAATGTCAAGATGATAACCGAGTCCTTGCTATATACGATTTAGCCCATCAGTATCCACAGCAGTTATCACGTTATCACAGTCTGGCTTCTAAGGTCATTAACATTCATGACTTTTGTCCTATAAAACAGTGTCTTTCACATATCTTCAGAGAAAAAGCCTGAAAGGTACTTCCTGTTTCTATAAAACCTTTTGGTCAGTGAAGGATACTATTTGTAGAAAAAATATCTTTCTAGTAACGGGTTCTGGACTTCGCTTGTGTTTTTGATACCGATTTTTTTTCCACAAAGCAGCGTACAGCTTGTGCTTTCTCCTGTAAAGATGCCATTTTCTTCAATTAGAGAAATTTTTCCTGATAACGCCGTCTTTGGACTGACTTGTGATTCGAAAAAATGAAATTTTTTAAGTATATCTATCTATTGCTGATATCATCTTATATTTATGTATAGTTCTCAATTTCTTAATAATTAAAAAATGTGAGAGACTTTGTGTGCGCCCCTTATATTCTATTGCCAGTATTTCCATTGACAATGTGGTGTCGATGGTTTTGCGCTGTTATCCAGCTGCACTAATTATCCAGGTTAACCTCACTCCACAAGGCCCACGAGAGGCCCCGCCAGGCTTTGTTTTCGATGAGTTGCATTTGGTGCGTTCCACAGTGTTCCGCGGGTTCTGTCCCTTCTGCTGGGTTTTTCATCTCTCTCTCAGCTTCTTGGTCAGATGTTTGTTAAATCTGAAAAGAAATAATTGGATTTTTTTTTTCCATTGCTGCTTTCACAGTTGGTGCCTCTCGCACTTACATGCTCCAGTTCTTTTCGCATTTTTACTCTTTTGAGATTAGGTGCGATGTTCGAGGTTACATTCTACAATTTTGCTTGAAATTATTAGGTTTTTCTACACATCTGTTCATGACTGAGCTTTACCCCCCCCCCCCCCCCCCCCCCCCCCCCCCCCCCCCCCCCCCCCCCTCCCCCCCCCCCCCCCTTAGAATTTGATAAAACAGGAGGTTCTCATTAGGTTTCCATTGTTAAGAGTCTCATTGCTAGCTATATTGCAGACTGTTCTAGTTTCTTTAACAACAAAATACCCATAAATGGTCATATTAAACACTCATAAATGTTAATCTAGACGAGAGTACGGTACCTGCAGTCGGTCACTGCCAGTTGATTCAGAGACCCGCTTCATATACCAGAAAATGAACAAAAGGGTGAGCTCATGCCTCATCCAATTTGAAAACTAGAACTAGATGGATGAACTTTTCATTGATATGACTGCTTTGTTATCAAGCCATTAACTTTCGTTATTAATGTAACTAACATAAACCCTTAAACCCTTTATTATAAAGCACAAACATCTTTAGCATTATAGCCTTGAGAGAAGATCAAAAGTCAGAAAAAGGAAAACATAACAAAGTCATTTGATGTCGAGATGATTAATCTATAAAAGGAACTTAATATATATTAATCTATAAACAGAACTTAATATAATGTCAAAAGCAGCTGATAAATGGTGTCTAAAGAATACAACATTCGAAATCAAATTGAAATTGCAGCTGTTAAGAATATCAACTCGATCCGCTATTTAACTCCATCTGGACCAAATCTGATAAATAGTAGGAAAGTGTATATCACTGGTTGAGAATTTATCAGAAGACTTTCAAAACAAGTTTCAAGATTTAAAAAAAAAAATAAATAAATAAAACCTCCATTTTTACATATTTAACATTCCATTTCCGACTGCCACCAAATCTACAAGCAAACAACTGGAATGTATAAAGTTGCAATAAAATATGCAACGAAAAGAAAGTTTATTTAAAGTAGTCTTTTATAAGTTTTATCTGCTTAAAGAAGCAATTACAACACTTCGCGAACACTCCTTGTTCATTATACCTCTTTCTGGAAGAAAATCGTTTGCAAATAACTTAAGGGGTGATTCTCAATGATAATCTTATACGCAAAACTACACGGGGTCAGTATTCTAAAAAACAGTCTGCCAGTTTTAAAAATTTCGAATGTTTAGAACAACACATTATATATAATGAATGCTAATAATTAGATGCAATATAATATAAAGCATGGGTAATTAACAGTTAATTATGGAAAAATAATAATTAGTTTATCACTTAAGCGCTGTAACTGATCTACTGATAATTATCATAAGTTTTAGTTGCGCACGATGACTGAAAAAGAAATGGCTACAAGATTAAATATCGAAACTCCGCATGTAGTTCCAATTAAAATATTTGTCAAAATAAAAGAAAAGAATTTATTGTGTACTGTTTCGACTTCATGAATGGAAGATATTCTTAAATATAAAAACTAAACTTTTTATACGGGCAAAAATTTCGATTAGCAAAGAATTTACTATAATTTGATAAGTTAACTGCAAAACGTTTCTAACTTTTATATAATAAATTCCTAAATATATTAGGAATAAACTTTACTAGCTTAGATCACTTTTCAACTTTGTTTTTATAAAAATTAAACATTCTCCTAAGTTTTTCTAAATTTTAATTTTCCATCCCTTTCTTAACTTTTTTTCTAAATTCAAGTTTTCGTAAATTTTAATAAACGATTACTGATAAGATGTGGCTTATTTTTTCAACTAATGGTTCCGTATTACTGACCTAACCCTAATTATTAATTTTGTAGGTGATCCCGATGAAATATTAATTACGAATATCTTATCTCATTTTAAGCAAAAAGCTATGAAAAATTTTGTATTTACTGTATTGGCGCATTATAAACATTTTAATGTGATATTTTGCTCTACGGAGATCTCATAAACTGTTCAACGTTGCTTTACGAAAGCATTTATCCTCAGGGCTGAAAATAGTTTTGTAAAATTCTCTAACTTATTTTTGAAAATTTTGTAATTGAAAGAGCACACCGCGGATCAATGTTAAAGAAAATTTTACTTCTAGCCACAACTTTTTAAAACCTTAGTATAATAGTCTCTTAAACTGACAAAACTGAGATAAAGCAGCCTTTGTCCACAAGCGTGTGAATCTGGAAGACAGTAGATGTACAAAAACTCCCGCATTTATATATCCACTGTCTTACCTCTTTATTATTTGTCAGACATATTTAAATGTGTACGAAAAGCAAACGGTCATTCAGTTTTTGTTTCATATTAAAGTTTTCCTAATGAAATATAAAGAAATGTGAAACTAAACTGTCATATTTAATTTATTGATATTACTGTGCAATTTCAAAACAAATCTAAATCAATGATTTCGGCAATAAATTTTAACTTATGTATAATAATAACTGAACACCAATCATAATGCATCTTAAATAGTAAATAATTATATAATGATAGATTTAGTTAAAAATAATCCTTTCGTTCCATTATTAGAATGATATTTTGTATTACTACCCCACGGAACTTCTTTACAGAGGTGTGGTACGTTATGCATTTCATAGTACAATGGAATTTGAAAACTGTTTCATTTTTCCATTGAAGGTAAAAATTATGTATATTTATTTACATCTTCAACAGATAAATGAAAGGGTAAGTATTTTGAGTGAAAAATATTACATGAATTTTTTCCTGAACTGCGTACTCTGA